ATTGTATCCGACAGGGATGTGAAGTTTATGAGCTATTTTTGGAAAACTCTATGGCACAAGATGGGGACTAAACTTCAGTATTCGTCTGCTTTTCATCCCCAAACTGATGGTCAAACCGAGGTAGTTAATAGGAGTTTAGGCAATCTTTTGCGCTGTTTGGTTGGTGAGAATTTAGGAAATTGGGATCTTCTGTTACCCACTGCAGAGTTTGCATACAATAGCTCAGTCAATAGATCAGTAGGTATGAGTCCATTTGAAGTTGTGCATGGTTACAAGCCTAGAAAGCCTATAGACCTTATTCCCATGTCGCATCATCCTAGGGTGTCCGAGTCAGCAGTTGCATTTGCATCACACATTCATGATTTGCATCAAGAAATCAACAAGAAAATTCAAGAAAGCAATGAACAATATAAGTCCCATGCTGATTTACATAGAAGACATCTTGAGTTTAACGAAGGTGATTATGTAATGATCCGGATTCGTCCGGAACGGTTTCCACCTGGAGCCGTCAAGAAATTGCATGCTCGTAGTGCTGGGCCTTTTAAGATTATCAAGAAAATTAACTCAAATGCTTATGTAATCGATTTACCTCCAGATTTTGGAATTAGTTCGACATTTAATATTGCGGATTTGGTGGCTTATAAAGGTCCTCCTTTTAACCCTGACAATCCACTTGTGGATCTTGATGAGCCTACCCCTGATCCTTTCCTTGAGGGACCCCCATTACCACCACTGCCTACTACTTTTGTCCCATTTACAGCTGAACAGATTGATAGCATTCGAGATGACCAAATCATCTCCACCAGAGATGGTGGTTGCATACGATATCTAGTACGTTGGAAAGATTGTCCTGAATCTGATGATACATGGATTACTCGTGAGGACCTGTAGCGCCTGGCTCCGGATCTCTTGGAGTATTATGAGGGTCAGTTGGAGCCTAACTCGACAGGGTCGAGTTCTTCCCACCCCGGGGGAATTGATGTGGACATCACACAGCCTCCACTTCGCACATACTTTCGCCGCCGCCGTCGTCTTGTTTCAGCTTATATTTGGTTTTGATTTTTAGAAGGCTTGGAGTCTAGCTAGTGTTACTTTTATTCTCTTTATTGTATTTGCTCTTTTTTTAGTCCCACATCGGATATGGAAATGAACTTGTAGTTGTTGAAGGCCTATTTAAAGAGGTCAATTTTATGAAATAAGGCAATGAATATTTGAAGAAAATTTTGTTTCATTTGTGAAACTTTGGGTAATTGATTTGATCTATAGGATTGAGTCAATGGTGGTGAAGCCGAGGCCCGGGTTGCGATTCGTGGTCATATCTTGTTAATTTTCCCAAACCCTAGCTTTCCCAAATCTTTGTTCTTCCCCAAATTTCCCAAATCCCTTACATAAACCCTAAAATTCCCATCGTCCCGCATCAACTATCCTGGGAGTCATGACCACTACTGAAGCCATCTTCGATCAATGGCATCATTCAGAATGGTAATTTGTCATTAGTTTATAATTATTATGATTTTTATACATTTATCTTCTTAATTCTCGTTCTTTCTTCTTGCTTTCTTCCTTTTTTCTGCTCTTCTCCTCTCTTCTCATGTGCCTACCACTATGGCAGAAGCATTCCAAAAAATAAAACCCTTAAAAGCTTCTTAGGTGCCTGCCTAGGCGTCTGCGTGTTGGGTGTTAAACCTGGTGCCCATAAGCGCCTAATGCTTTCTAAAACATCGGATATCAGTATATCACATAACTAAGTTTGTCATGTCACTTCTGTCTTTAAAAGTTGTTTTGGGGATGCATGACAAACAAACCTGTATAGATATCTAGGATGTATAGCATATCCAAATTATCCATCTTTTTTGATGTAATATTATATCTAGTTAAGACAGAATATTTGAACTTTTTGTTTTGATCCCCTCAAAAGTGTTTGAGTTTTTGTATTGATCCCATAGAACATTATGTAATTGAGTTTTGATCCATATCTTCCAATAAATTGAAAGAGTCTATTGCTAATTTCCCTCTTTGAACAAGGAACGTCTAATCAAGGAATAATATGCACAACCTTCAAAAAGAGCCTCATAGAAGGATTTCAAAATTTTACCATTTCAGTTTTAACACTTTGGAGTGTATTGCTTAGGTATTACCTTCAGCGCACAAGAAGTCAGATTTGTGTGAATTTTGACTTAATTCTTGTGTCAGAATTTGGTTAATTCTGAATTAGAGTTCCTTTTAGTGATGAAGTAGAGGTCAATTATGGATCTTCCAGTTTAACGACATGGAGATTGACTTTGGACTTAATTCTCTTTTGCCAACACAGAGCTATATTTGGATTTTAGTCCCTTTTAAGGATGTGGTTTTTTTTTTGGATTTGCTTCTTGGTTAATTATTAATAAATGCAAGATGATTTTGCATTTGGACTCCTTCTAACAACATGAAGGTTAAATTTGGATTTGATTTTGTTTTAATAAATTAGAGGTTGATAATGACGTGAAGGTCGGTTTTCAATTTGATTCCCTTTTTATTGACATGGTGGTCCAACATTCCCTTTGAGTACGTGAAGGTTGGTTAGGCCTTTCCCTTTAATAAATGGAGGTTTATTTTTGTTTTGGATCCCCTTTAGCAATGTGGAGGTTGCTTTTTGATCTGATTACCTTTCAGCGACATGGAGGTCGATTTTTGGATTTAATTCCCTTTTAGCCACATGGAGGTTGATCCTTGAATTTGGTTTCTTAAAGCAAAATGGAGGTTGATTTTCTGAAGAGTCATAATCTTGATCTAAGTCATGAATACATAGCTCTCTTTTTTGCAACTTGTATCTCTTGATTGTAGTTTTGGAGTTAGGATTTTGGAACTGGGAGTTTGATTTGAACTTCGCTAGTTTAGGAGCTTCAGTTCCTTAGCAGTTAAAATTTTGATATGGGTTGGTAGAAGTCTATAGTCTATGAAGTATGGAGTTGGAAATCGATTTTACTTCACAGATCTATATCCATAGACTTTGACTTTATTTGCTTTTAGTTCAGGAGGTCTACAGGACGAGGAGTTGGGAATTTCTTTTTAGTTTAGTGATTTCATGGTTGATATGGTTTGGAAATTTTATAGTTTCCTTTAGGTTGTAGATGTCTCAGTCTGTAGAACTTAGGATTGGTTTGATTTTGGATTTAGAGCTTGTTGTTGTCTTTGGTATGTAGCCTACAGTTTGTTTTAATTGGTTGATAACCCTTGAAGGCCTGGAAAATTTGACTAATTACTTAATGAAAAACGCATTAGTCATTTCTGGAGAGATGACTGCGTGCTAGAGAAGTTCTATACTCCTAGCCATTTTGCACAAATCATCTAGGTAGTTAGTATGAAGCATCTATTCACGATCAAGAAATAAGTTTAAGTGAAAGTGCCATCGGTATAGACATTCTTTCTTTTTCAATCGGCAAGCAGGAGAGACTTACTGTTGGAGAATTTTTATATTTGTAGCTAGTCTAAAGCAATCGGCTACTTATTTGTATAGGCACATTAGTCATGTTCTATGAGCTCACCCGATGAGATTCAAACTATTGGATAAACAATGCTAGAGTATAAAACTACAACCCTCAGCATTCTTGGAAGTTTGATGTAATGATAGAGACCTTCCAGATGGTATCAGCGGAGCCAGTTCTAGATACCACTGGCCACATGTTTAAAGTAGACTTGAAAAGAATGATTGCCGTGTAAAATAGTCCAAGTTTCAAGCACGTGAAAAGGGCACTCAAACGGCAGGAGCATGTTAGAATATAAAATTATAACCCTTTACCCTTACTTCAAACGTCGAAGTTTTCGTGTAGTGGAAGGGACTTTAGCAAATCTTTTGATCCACCATGTTTGTACTGAGATTGATATTACAGTTGTGTCAAATTTGTATCTTACAAGTACAATATCATCAAACTTGATAAATTTCGTTGTACTTTAAAGGGGTTTTGATGCAGGATAGATTTAAATTTGAGTCTTGCAAAAGATTTGATGAAGATCAGATTAGAATTTCTTCTAAAAGATTTGATATTTTTAGTTGGGATTTAGGATTGAGTTATTGTTTAGTTAGGAATAAATCTGTTATTTTATTAGGATATGTGATTTGATGTTATCCATTAGTTAGGATTAGGATTTTATTTAGCGCTATAAATAATGATGTATTTCTTCATTTGAGGAGAGAAGAATGTTTGTGAGAAATCTGCATGTGAATTGCAACTTGTATTAGGAATGTGAAGTATTAAATATATGAAATGCCCGGGGGAGAGACCCACATTTGTATCTTTTTTATTCTTAAATTAAATGAAGAGTGCAATTTTAATATTTATTTTTTATTTTATTTAATCCAAATAATCATCCTCAGAAAATCACTATGCTTCCGTTCCTCATCAAGTTTACCTTATGGAGGAATAGTTAACCACCTCTAGTTTGCTGATTTATCTGTTATTTGATCAAATATATACCAGTTGCGGCTGTTTTTGATAGCTACTGCTACGAGCTTGAGTTAGAACTTAACTATGATGTCTACACATTGACAAAACAATGTCCCGCTTTGAGTTGCCTCAGAAGACACCCTGACAACATGATTGATGTGCAGTCTTTTAAAAGATCCTAAATTGATGTGCTTTACTTGCTACTAGCAACTGATTACTAATTTTCTAGTGAAGTTCTACATACTTCCTTTATATATGCTGTGACATTGTATAGAATTTCTATTTAATGATGATGCTAGCGTATTGATAAACATCACTTGTTAATTACATTGAAAGTGTAAACGTCACTTGTATAGAATTTTTATGTTGTTCTTAATGACGATGCTAGCGTATTGATAAATGTCACTTGTTAACTACATTGCATGTGTAAATCAAGCATCCTTGTATGTTATACATTTGTTTTCGTTATTGATAATGTCTTTTAGGCTTTGTCATTTTTAGGTTTTCTCCTAGTCTCAATCTTGTTATTAATTTAGATACCTGATCTTATTTATGTAATTTACAATGTATCAACAGATTTGCATAGACCCAAGTTTCAAGGGATCAAGGTTCTCTTTGGTAGACAGGGGATTTATATTTGCAATAGCTCACATACGTGGCGGTGGTGAAATGGGAAGAAAGTGGTATGAAAATGGGAAGTTGCTGAAGAAGAAAAATACATTTACTGATTTCATTGCTTGCGCAGAGTATTTAATAGAGAATAAATACTGCTCGAAGGAAAAACTATGTATCAACGGGAGGAGCGCAGGAGGCTTGCTCATTGGTGCTGTTCTGAACATGCGACCTGATCTTTTCAAGGCAGCTGTGGCTGGAGTACCTTTTGTTGATGTACTAACGACTATGCTTGATCCGAGCATTCCGTTGACTACATCTGAATGGGAGGTCGTATTTCTTATCAGAATTTTTTATCAGCATTCTATATGATAAATTTACAAGTGGATGTGATGTTCTTATGGTAAAATGAGTGACTAATGTTAGTAAATAATTAATGATTTTTAACCAAAGCCTTAAGATATTAGGAACCTGCATGTTCTTTAAAGTTGAACATCTTAATGCTCCTTATCATATGGCAATCAGCATAATGTTCGCAAATGAAAGACAACACGAAGGAAAAGTAACAGATGCCAAATGCAGGCTTACAGTGAAGAAACAAATTATATTTATTTTGGGATTTGAATCTGGAACCTTAGTCTTACTTCCAGTTGTCAGTAGCATGGTGGTACTACCTTTACTCAAAAGCTTAAGCTGTCATGAGGCGTGACTACATATTACTTAAAGCCACAATAATGCAAGGAATACTAAGTTGCTTATCTTGTTTGTTTGTAGCTTCATTTCCCTTTTCCTACCTATTGTTGACTTACAACCATAGTATCATCAATCTTATAAAAGATGGAAAGGGTTTTTGAGTTTTCTAAAACTTTTCATACTTATTTCTCGATATTTGGTCTAGTATAGGCATCTTTGATGGTTTAATTGCTATAATATGTTTGTATCAACATAATTGTTCATGTTAGTGATCCCATTGGCTAATTAGTTCTACATTTTTTCTTTCAGGAATGGGGTGATCCTCGAACGAAAGAGTACTATTTCTATATGAAATCTTATTCTCCAGTTGATAATGTGAGTTCTTGTCTGAATATTTCTTCATGTTTATCTACAAACAAAAGCTAAATATATTGGAAATCCACATGTTCTTGTTGATAATTACAAAGTTACTCCAGATTCGTACAGCTACGTTAAAAATATGAAATATTTAAGTTCCAATGTCTTAAAAAGATTTTTTTCCCTTCATTTTCTTATTGATAATTACCAGTGAACTGTTACATTTCCTGCACCTTACAGCTGCAAGATTGTTGTAATATAAATTCGCCTGCCTCATTGTTCTCATTTTAGTTCTTACCTGCTGTGGGTTAGATAACTTTCGTAGATTCCAATTTGTGAGTATGGAGACTTATTTAATTAAAGATGGCTCTTGGATAGGCCTAAAAGATTTTGTTTTCATGATGACAAGTTTCCATGTGTGCAGATGTGTGATGATCATAGGTTACACCTAGTTGCAAATAGCAACACAATGCATCTGCTGCATTCCACACACAAGTCATCCTGATTTAGGTGTGTTTGATGTAGACCTTCTATATGTCTGATGGGAGAATGTCAAATGTCAAGTGAACATTTGTCAGGTACCAAGCTGGTTCTTACACCTGGTGTCAATGAGGATCTACAATCTTTAAGTGACTAAACCATGGACCTTTAGCTGCCAGTATGACTGTTTAGTCATGGATGAGTCGCAAATAGAGTTACATACTTGTGTTAGTGAAAATCCTGAAGGTTCAAATTTGATGCGTCATATCACTAAAACTAAGTTATAGTTTGTCAATGTTGGCAGAGAAGGAAACAGTTTAAGTTTGCGTCACTCAGCTTATATATTGCAGGTACCTTCTCTTCCTCCTCTAGCTTTGTACTTGTCTCAATTTTGGCCTCTGGATGTTAATCTACTTACAGCATCAGTTTGGTGTACCAGTGTAGAACTCTACAATTTGGCCAGAGGTCAACCTAACTATATTCAAGACCCTTTGAAGACAACCTGTCTCAACTAAAACTAAATCAGTATCATGTTCCAACACTTGGTCATCCATGTGATGTCAAGTTGCGATGTCTCACATGGTTTCCTAGTAGCAAGTTACCAACTCTTTGTAGGGCATTGTGCTGACAAGTGATAAAGACGGTTTCATACTGTGTGATATTTCCCTATATTTTGTTTTATCCATGAAAAATAGCAAATAAGAAATTTGCTATTCATCCAAGCTTGTTTGATCTGGTTACACTATTAGCTTTTTAGTGCATCAATCAGCTCATTATACCTCAACCACTCTAGTGCAAGTTGATGTTGTCATACGAGACATTAAAATGGGATATCTATGCTAAGTTTACCATTCCAATTTGCATTAGTATGCCGCTAAATCCATAGACCTTTAGGTCCTGATTTTCTTTGTAACCTTATAATCAGATTGCAGAGATTGAATAATTACCAGGTGCTCCAGTGTGACTGCTTCCATTCTTTAAGAAGCTTGTTTCTTTGTGATGTCCAGAAGAGAAAAAGAAAAGCTATACAACTTCTCTGAACCATTCATGAGCAGATTTGAGCCCTCTGCAATGCCTATGGTTAGTGGATGGTCCATCTCCTCAATTACAGCCGTAAATTATATCACGCAGTTATATTTGACTCAAGCTCAAGGTTGGAACAAGTTCAGGCTACAGGGGGATGATGGTAGTTATTTTCAGGGTAAATGATGATCATTTACATATAGTCGACAATTGTTATCAGGAGTAGCAATTTTGATCTGAACTGTGAACACAACTCGTAAGTAGCAGGTATAGGTCAATTTTAAACGGGTTGGGCTATAAATGCGCCAATGCAACTGACCCCTTTAATAAATAGGCTATATTTGTGCATAAACATTGACACACTTGTCCGAAAGTGACCCACTTAATTTAAAGGTTTTCCGTAATACCTTACTTAATATGATCAGATCAAGCAGTCAATTTATGAGTTGGATTTGCATATTAGGACTTTGAATCTTAGCTTGGATTTATTATACCTTTTATGTGAATATAGACAGATTTTATGAAGTAACAAACTATAATTAGGTTGTAAGCATAATATTGTTGTTCAGTTGATTATTTGGTATTACTTGAATATTACTTGAATCCTAAATGAGATTGTGATTTGAATCTGGGTAACTACATATCATGTGTATGTGAGTATTTGAAATCAAACCTGATTCTCTGTGCTTGCTGATCATAAGTTGCATGGGTTCCTAGAACCCAAATTTAAGCAGACCAGGTATGGGCATGCCTGGTTGACTCAGTTACTGAATGTGCTGTGATCCGGTTAATGATAATTCAGGTCAGAGCAACTTGGCTAGGTCAAATCTGATTCGACCAGAGTGTGACTTGATCCCACCCAATAACCAAACAGAGTTGCGATCATTGTCTTAAGTATTCCTACATAAGAATCCCCAACATAACTGATATGTATACCAGTATATCCTATTACAAGGCTTGTTGCAAAACAATATGGCCAAGGTTACCGAAAGCGCTAGGCAGCTTAGGCGGTTTTCTATTTTTTTAGTTTTTAATTACAATTTATGATAGTCAATGCCAATGTTATGGAAAGCTTAGCGCTGGACTGATACCTAGGTAGATTTCTTAAGTGATGGTGGATGAAGTTTTGTTAAATGTCGGGAGAGGTAGAGGAGATGTTCATAGCTGGAGAAGGTTGAAGAACGTGGAGGCTACAACAAAGAAAATCACGATTAATGCCTAAAAGGTGTAGTCCATGTAGGCAAACTATCTAGACACTCCCAAAACCTAGATGGACAGCCTAGATATTGCCTAGGCGTTAGGCGCTAGGTAGGCGGTCAAGGTAGTGCCTAGGTCTAGGCATATGCCTAGGTGGGCTAGGTGGAGACTTTTTAAAACGTTGAATATGGCCTTAATATTCTTTACCTCTTTTGGCAATTTGTCGATGATATAATTATATCATGATTTTCTTGATATATCAATTGTCCTTCGGCCTAAAAAAAAGTAGTTGAAATGTTGAAATGTCTGTTTGAACATCCATTTGTTTTAAAAAATTGGTTATGGTTCAAATGAAGGTTTGAAAACTAATAATTATCTGCTATGTAAATAATAGTTAAGAATTAGGGCTCAACTGAGACCAATTTCTTTTGCAAAAGTTTTGCGAAAGATATCATCTTTCTCCTCAACTCTATCCTTTGGTGCATCAAGTACAAACATCTATGATACACAGACGCACATTATTTGATATGACACCCTGATATTTATTAAATATCCCTGATACGGCCCCGATATCCGCCATCTAACATAGAATTTCTTTGTCCAACATATCCCCAACATCCGACATTTAGAATGCTTGTTGCAACTGAGAAAGTAAATTTTATATTAATTGAAATCACACTGAAGAAAATTCAAGTTCTAATTGCGCTCCTGGGCAACTTTATCCATCTCACCAGATCCTATGATTAATTTGGCTTTAAAGCTACTAAAATCACATCACCTATATAATTGTACCTTTGATGCCACTTCTTACATAAAATGGTACACGTGCAATATGTAGCTGCTATTGTGAAATATGGTCCAATTAAATTTTATGACGTGTTATCTGAAACTTTTTGTTTTACAGGTGAGACCACAAAATTATCCCAATATTCTTGTTACAACAGGTTTAAATGGTATGTTTAATCATCAAATGCTTCAGATGAGTCATCCTTATGCTGCAACTAAGTGTATTTCTTTCAACTTCCTCACTTCTTCCATAATCCAACAGATCCCCGTGTATTGTATTCGGAACCTGCAAAATTTGTGGCAAAACTAAGAGAAATGAAGACCGACGACAATGCACTCTTGTTCAAGTGTGAACTAGGAGCTGGACACTTCTCAAAGTCAGGAAGGTAAGAATTATCTTTAAACAACTTTCCTACACATCAAAAGATTTACAACCTTTTCCTCTTTTTCAGAAACTAGCATGGTTGTGTTAGAACCTCTTGACATTCCTTCCATTTTAAACTTGTAGAGAAATAAGAAAAGGTAAAAGGTCGTTATTCATCTAAGCCTAACCTCTTAAATAGAGGTTGCAAGAATATTACAAAATAGGTATGAGATAAAATCATATCTAATCACATCTCACAATATCTCAACAATATCTCATAATAACTATTAAATCAACTCATACCAAAGTATCAATAATATCTAACACCCTCCCTCAAGCTAGAACATGTATACTATTTTTTTTTACAAACGAGAACATAGCTGCTAGTTGCAAGAGCTTCAGTAATGTCATATTTGTCTAGAATACTTGAAGACATCAGCAATCAGAATATTGTAATCACAGCCAGTAAAAATTCTAGGTCTAGGTGGGTGAGCCAGTAGAAGAAACACTTAGCAAGTTAGTCAATAGAAACCCTAGACGGGTAAGCTCGTAAAAATCCTAGGCGGGTTAGCTAGTAGAAACCCTAGACAAGTAGTCAGTTAAAAACGTCGAAAGAAAACTACTGTCATTGCATATAACCACCAAAGATGGCGAAGAGTGAATAGGAACTCTGATTACTGTTCATCATGAGAGCATTAATCTTGCTACTTTTCATTGTTTGAACAGTACATGGCTTTTTTTTATTTAGGTTATTTTGCGGAGAGTATTTGATAAGAGTTAGAAAACAATGATACCGAAGTAGTTGTTAACGTTGTTGAAGTTGTCGATGCCATCAAAGCCGCTGGTGGGAGTATGAAGGCTATGCAAAACCTCCTTGACGGCCTTGAGATGTTAAAAGATGGGAGAAATACTATAGGATCAAGTAGGCTCTGATATCATATAGAGAAAATAGAAAAGGCAGAAAACCATTATTCATCTAACCCTAATATTTTAAATAGAGATTATGAGGATATTACAAAATAGGTATGAGATAAAATTATATCTAATCACATCTCACAATATCTCAATAATATCTCATAATATCTATTAAATCTACTAATATCAAATTCTCAATAATATCTAACGAAACTAAACTGGCATGTAAATATGAGCTACAACTGCTGTAAGTAGGAGGTCGACCATATACTTGAAAGTTGAAAACAACGCCCCCTTCATCAGATAGGAGGAAAGCTTCTCGACAGTAGATCAGTCTAAGAGAAGGGTATTAGATAATTACCGAGTTGATGCTGTAGCGGTTGATGACATGTTCTCTGCTTTGACTGATGGTTTAGTTATTGTGCCATCTGGTGCTTAGGCATAAGATTTGGATTATATTTTAGCAGTTTTGGGTAGTATGGACTTTAACTGCACAAGGTATGAAATTTGAATCTGTTTTATGTTGGCAGAAGCTCAGCATACCACATATACCTCTTAAGACAGTTGATCAGGGGACTGCTTCTAGTCTTCAATATTCTTTCTCAATGTCCCCATGTCGATAACTTCGCACTGTTATTTTTTACTCTGCTGTTCTTTTGTTTATACCTGTCTGATTCGTATTTACTTCTTCACCCTGCTTAATATTATTCCTCTGCTGCAGGTTTGAGAAGCTAAAAGAGGATGCATTCACCTATGCTTTCATCTTAAAGGCGTTGAATATGATTCCGCAAGTTTCCTCTTAAGGAGCGAAGGGAAAAACTTCCTAAGATGTACGACAGTAAATTAGATGAACAGTTAGTTTCACAATCTTAATGCAGTCTATATTATTTGTCCTCAGATTTTTTTACAATATCAGCATAACTATCCATGAATTTTGTGAAAGTGAACCATTGCTTCAGTAATTGAGGTTGTCTTATACAAGAATTACACGATGAAATATTCTACCCTCCAGAGGAATGCTTGTATCAGTTTACACATGCATCCATACTTTTATTCGGCTCGTAGTTGACAATACCTCGAGTTGATTCAAGAAAGAGCCACATGTATGCGGTGCCGACCTCAACTTTTCCTGTATTCAAACAACATTTATTCCTTGTGTGGACTCCTTCGAGGCTCTGTTCAAATGCCTACAGGATGCTAAACTTGAAGCCTACGCTTCCGACTTCTTCATGTTTAATGGTTAATTGCACACAAACCATTGTAGTATCAGAAATTAGTGAGTCTGTTTGAGGGTGTAAAAAGTCGAGAAACATTTAACCCAAAGGGTCTACCTGCAACAAGTTCAAATCATTGATAACTACAGGGGATCTATGTGCAATTAAACCCGTGTTTTAAAGGAAAGAACACAAGCAAAACCTGTTGCTACTGTAACGTTAATATACTGAATCCTCTATCTAATACGAGATAAATAAATCCATACATAATATATCTCTATATGAAAACGCTATAACGAAAAGAACAAACAAATATAATCATCCTCCTCAAGAACCCCCAAAGCAAGAACAACCACCAACGCAACCGGAACCTAGAGCTTCAAGCTGAACTTGCAGTCACTAGTCTTGATACTAATCTGATTATTGGCGTTCAAACTATCGACCACAAGATCACACCTGACCCTAGAAGTCACCTTCCACAATTTCAACCCTCCAAGCTTCACCTTCACCGGCACATCCCCTCTAAACTTCAACGGAATCTTCCCCGTTTGCTGCTGCGCCCGCAACGCCGTTACAACATCGCTCCCGAGCTTCGTCTGGCCACTTAGCGTCACCGTCATCACTGTCGTATTCCGATGGCCTTGATAAAACACAGGGAAACTCCCTTCACAAAGACTGATATCAGAGTACCACACGCTTAGGTGGCTGTTATCCTCATAGTAAATGCCTATATGTTTGTTGGGGTTTTTCGCGGTGACCGTTAGGTTGAAGCTCGCACGGGCGTTGAGGCCGCTGTCGACGGAGAAGTCGGTGATCCGGAGGCGGTCGACCGAGTATTTTGGTAGTTTCGGGTCGAGGACGAGGTATAGGATTCCAATGGTGGCGGCGACGATGACGATGAGGAGGATGACTGTTTAAGTTAAGCGTTCCAGCCACCACGCCACCTGCGCACATGCCAGCCCCTCTGTGGCTTCGGGGGCGGGACGTACGCGACGGGGATCGTGCGGTCGTAAGGAGCGCGATGAAGGGTCGCCTTGTCCGACCGTGACATTGCCGCGGGGGACGAGGGGAGCGGAGGAGGTGGGGCCGCGCCTCGACGTCGACCGGATGGATCTTCTGGTGGTCGGAGGGGGGCATGGGGCGTTGAGCGGTGCTGCTGCTCATTTTTGTTGTGGGTAACAGGTTTATTGGTGTCTGTGTTTGGTAGAGCGCTCATTATAACTGTAGGAGGGGTGCAGAGGGAGGGTTTATTCTGAGGATTGGTTCTTGGATGCGGTAAGCGGGGGGTGTCGTTTCTTGACTTTTTTTTTTGTTAGGAGCGGATGGAGGGCCGTTGGAGCCTGTGCCTTCTGCTCACCTAAATAAAACTAAACTATTATGGGTGGTAAAATAATGGATTAGATGGAGGGGGTTTATTTATATTTAATTAAAGAGCAGGTTACAATTAGAACCTTCTTAATTTTATGGCTTTAATTAGTCAAATTAAATATCTTCCTTTTCTATTAAATTCAGCAGAACTCGTATTCTACGTCAGAGGCTACTAGGATTCTGCCCATTTTTTTCTTCAGATCATTTGGAATAAGATGGAGAGCTAAGTTAGATCACCGTCCGTACCATCCAAATTTTAACATTAGGGTCACCAAATTGAAAACTCTATATTGTTGGATGTGATTCCATTTAGAAATTAAATCTCTGCATAATTTAACTTTGTTTTTCTTTATCAACACATCTTATGTTGCCAAATCGACATTGCGGAAATTTCGTAAATCGAATAATTACTCCATGGTACATGATTAAAAACATGTTACATGTGATTTTAGAGGCGTCATAGGAGGAAATCCCCTCCTATGACAAGGATACCCATTAATCTATCTCTCTCTCTCTCTCTCTCTCTCTCTATATATATATTAAAATTTCTAATTTAGGGATTTACTATCCATTTTCAGCATCTAAGAATAGTCTAAGTTGATACTGGTAAACAAAAATAATAAGAATTGATTAAAAACATTAGGTTAATGGACAAATTTTTTAAAAATATTATAGATTAAAAATTATCGGCACTATATAAATTAAAGTAGTTTTATATAATTTTAGTAATAAGTTGGGGTAGCCAAAATACATTCGTAACATTAATTGATAGATGTTTAAATCCATAGAAATGATAAAACACTATAATATTATACCTTAGCATTAATTGATTTTAATTTAGAAACTTTAATCTTTGACGTTAATAATATTTATAGGGTAAAAGAATACAATGAATTACATATGAAGAAACTATTAGAATATTTATAGATAACTTTAAAAGAATTGAGTTATTTCCATTGCGAATGGGAAAGTGATGGAAATAAATCTAAAATTCAGAAAACGTCAATGAATCACTTGAATTGGCATTAACATAAGACATATCTATTAATGAAGCACTGAATGAGCTACATTAAAAAATAATTTAATAACTTTATCCTAATCAAAGAAAAAATCTCCATGGAAGACATAATAATAATTAGTAAGTATTCATAAATTCCATACTGTGTTCTTTAAATTAAATATTAATATTATAATCTAAGAGAAATTGGTAATGAATAATGCAGGTATTTAGTTTAGATCTTTATGGAAAATGACAGGGATAGAGCAAAGGTAATATTATTGAAATAACAGAAATTCTTATTGGATGCACATCAGAAGAATTCATTTTAGAGGAAAATAAAGAGATAGCTTCTAATTTATTTAAGTAATAAATTAGGAACACAAAGAATTTTATATATATGAAATTAATATTTATTCTCATTGAAATAGAAAAAAAAATCAAAGTCTATATTTTGAGCAGTTTGTGTTGAACATCATAAGTACATTTGACTTCTTTGTAAAGTTAAATGAGATGATAAAAAATTAACGAGCCCAGGAAAGATAATAGCATAAAAAATACAAAATTAGCCTGATGTCACAATTGATGTAGATGATGAAGACAATACTCTAGAATTGTCCGAGAAATGATAAATGATAAACCTGAAGAAGGATTGATCTTAACTCAATAAAAAATAAAATAGAAGAAATAAAAACAATATTTTATGAATATTTTATAGAATAGTTTAATTATTTTGAGTGAAATTAGGAATCTTTAGAAGGGAGTTTCATGAATTTTTTTCAGTACTTTTATATTCTTATGTGGATGTTTTTATCATATAAAAGTATACTAGAGTTAGCATTAATCTTTAATTTATATTTTTTTATGAAGTCTATCAATGATTAGGAATAAACTTCATATTCTCTTTTGCATCGTTTTAACATACTTTAAATCAATCATTTTGCCATATTGGTTTTAAATATTCACCTTCCTTGTATAACACTATTTTAATATTTTTCACTTTGCAATGCTATACTTTCTCAAATAAAGCTTAGTTTCATATCGGTCAAAAATAATATGAAAATTCAAATTATTTTTAAATTATATTTGTTTTTTGTCAATTCAAATATCAACATGAAAATTTAAATTGGGTGTATCACATTTAAACAAACATAAAAAAATAATCGGGATGTAAGAGTTTAAAGAAAAAATGAGTACAAACTGCCAAAAATACTTAATCATGATATTAAATTACGTGCATTGCACGTGTGTAAAAACTAGTCATTACAAGTTTAGTAGATTAAGATTTTAAATTTCGATTTATAGTCTTTACATCTTAGTTATTGTTGGTGGTAGTCTAACTCAATTCTGTTGATTTCCCCCCCTTATTTCGGTAGAATATGATATTTTCCCGCAAAATCTTGATAGTACGGTATGTTTCTTGTGATTATCAAAATGAGGTAGTTTAGCTCATGAGGTATGTAACGTGTTTTGCTATGTCCTTTTGTGTGAGGTGAATAGGCCGTGTACGTCTGAGGATATCACGCGGTAGAGTTTTAGTAATTGGAGGTTTCTCTTTGTTGTTTGGATTCAAAGGGGGGCCATTGACTTGCGAGGCAAGTCCCTTTATTATTGTTGTTCTCTCGAAGTTGATAGTTGTGGCAGCATCGTCAAGGTTGCAGCTTTCACATTGGAGAGAGAGAAAATTCTCTATGTGAAAACATACGAGATTTGGCATTGTACTGGTACAATAATAGGCTGATTAAAACCCTCCTGATTCTATTAATATGATATTCAGATTGCGTTGAATGATATACTCATATTCCATAATGTATATTGATTGCACTTGTTGATGTACTAGTGATCACACAGTCAATATGTATCCGTGTTTGGATGAGTTTGTTGAGGATTGATGAGAGACCGTTTTCTTCCCTGACTTTATGTTTGACTCTTGAATTGGGAATCTGAGAAATCTGCACATGTAGAAATTCGTGAGAGGAGGGGGCTTGGTTCCCCCGTTGTACCTCCTCCGTTGTACCTCCGACGATCAAGTTAGCTGATGAACTTGAATGGGGCAAGTAAGAACTATGAGAGTTCTTGTATGTGTGCAATATGATTTGCAATTTTAGAGAATTTGGATTGGAGATCAAATCTTTTTCCCGTTAGATCTTCCATTCGTTCCCTCTTTTTCCCCCTGTCAAGGCAGAATAGTACATGTATTTATACCTAGGGTATAAGGGCAGATTGGTCACTTCGGCCGACTGCAGGAAGGCAGTGACAAAGTGTGGGCTGACAGCTGCGCCAGCACTTGTTTTACAGGTGTCGGCTGACGAGTGGGGGAATAATCACTTCAGCATTAAATGAGAAGTGAGTGGTGGCAGGGCGGTGACCCACGTGGTCCGATGAGTCATGAAGACTATCGAGGCTAGAGGCATGATGCACCTGTCATGCATTAAATGCGATGTTGACACGTTGCCAGTGAGGATAGGCTCGAGGAAGAGGTTGTCCTCTAGCTTCGCCGAGAAGTAACGTCTTTCGAGTTATCTAGCAAACGATCGAGTGAGCTCATGGTGAGTCGTCTTCGACAAAAGGGGGCGACAACTACCACCTTTCGAGTGGACATGAGAGGGTGTCGACTCAACAGGTTAGCTGAGTTGTCGTCCCTACAAGTCTCTAGCCAAGTTGATTGTGGTATAACATGCAAAAGTACGCGTCCGTTGCTTGGCACTGAGTTGCACTCGGGCAAATGAGAACACCATAACAACACTAATTTAAAATAGATAATGTGTAGCAATTGCTGAAATTTCATTTACCACTTTAAGATTTTCTATAGAGAACCTTGCCAAACAACACCCAACATAACAAAAATTATATTCAAAATCTAATAACCCAATGTGGGTGACCCGAATGGTTAGAATGTTTCAATATGACTTTCACGGTCTTGGTTTGGATTCTCGGTTGGGTTACCTTAAAAATTCTAATAAAATAGAACCAATTTTATCTTAAAAAAAATAAAATAGAACAATTATCTAGAGATTTAACTTCCTACGTGATTAAATGAGAAGATTATTTGCAATAATTCAACTAAATTAAAGATCATATGAGGATCCTAATAAAATGAGAAAATTAATCAAGAAATATAAGGTAATAAAGTATCTACCTACATAATAGAACAAATACATTTTATTAAAATAAGCTGTATTCAAGCTTTTAACGCAAAGAAATTGGAGTTTCCTTGTATTTGGCTGTCCAAAAATTTAATAGGTTTGTCTTGCTGGGGAACTTGCTATTGTTTGTATCCCCATAACAAGAAAGAAATTGCTTGCTAAGCTGTAATTAGAAGGATAAATATAAGAATAAAAGGCTACCTACAAATTTCAATTTCTTGTTGAAATACTAAAGGCCATTGCCACATAAACTTAGTGAAGATAGAAATACTACTGAGCCCTTGAACTTGTCTATTTTTTGCATGACTTTTCTTCCTTGTCACTTTCTAATCAAGTACTTTTGTCTAAACAAAGTACTAAATCATAATTTTTTTTACTGTGAAATGATATTTCATTTTAGTTGCAAAAATTAGTAAAATATTTTGGTTACCGAATGGTTTAATAGAAAACCTTTTACAAAAATAATTTTTAGATGATCTGCTGCATATTTTAATAATTCTTTTAATATATCGGTAGCTTGTTCCTACATGTAAGATCCCTCAATTTCAACTCTCATATTTTTTTGAACGGTGGTCAAAATCACAATTTAAGGTTCAAGAGCAAGAAAGTCAAATCTGAGGTACTGATCAAATTTCAAAGTAGTCACATGACCTGAATTAAGTAAGTGGTCTCTTCTATAACAAAATTGGATTTTTTTTTTGAGGAAAATAGGGCAGATGCCCTATCATAAAACTATTGAAAACTGAATTATAGAACTTACAAAAGAAGTTATCTGCCGATGATTTAGGCTCCTGCTCCGAGATGGAGAAAAAAAACTAAATCATGGGAAGAAAACTTTGAGCTGGTTACATAAAACCAAAACTCTCAGAAAGAAAACAGGAAAAAAAAACAAAAGAGGGGTAGCATGAACTATACAAGAGGCCAGCTATGACGGAAGACATAAACACCCCGGTCATGGGATCCCGTTGCTGTCTACACTCGATTCCAAAATATCTGGCAGCCCAGAGGAGAGGATGATATGCTTCATCTTGGTCAACTTCTTAGAAGAGGAGGCACTTGACCACAAAATTAGAAACTTAATTGCTTTGTAGATGATTTGCTGAGGAGTAAGAGTCTGATTAGAGAATATGCGATTGTTTCTTGCTGTCCAGGTGACCCAGCACATTGTAGGGAAGCAGATGCCCCAAAGAAGACAAACTGATGGCTGGATAGACATATCGGAGCAGATGGCAAGGCACTGATTGATGCTTGGAGGGAGGTATCCTATGCCAATCTTATGAAGAACAGGAGACCAAAGTTGTTGAGCATGGGAGCACTGAAGGAATAAATGGTCATGAGTTTCCTCTTCGTTCCAGAATGTGCATGAAGAGTTGGCTAGCCAGCCTTGGGATACCAGTCTATCCTTTGTCTTCAGCCTATGAAGGCTCAAGAGCCAGAAGATAATTTGAACTTTGCTTAGCAGCAGCTTGTTCCAGATCAAAGAGTTGTATTGGAAACGCAGGCCGCCATCTGCTAGCATAGAGTAAAGAGACTTGACAGAGAATTGGTTAGATGTAGATAGGGACCAAGAAGGACTGTCTGCCGTAGGAGAAGGGGATAGGTTGCATTCACCAAGTAAAGACAACAACGCTTGCACTTGGTCTCTGTCCTGGTCATTTTTTGGACGCCTGATAATGGGTTTCCAGATCCACCTTCCCCCTTGAACTCTGCCTTGGGAAGCAATGGAGAAAATTCTGGAGAAAGCTAGAAGATAGACTTTAGGGAATAGGCTAGCTAAGAAGTTAGTTCCAATCCATTTATCTTCCCAAAAGAGGACTCTAGACCCGGTACCCAGATTCTATTGGACAAAGCCGAAGAAGAGTTGATAGCAGGAAAGGATATCTTTCCAGAATTTGGATATTGTCAAAGAATTTCCAAAGCCATTTAGAGAGGATGGAGATGTTGAAAAGCTGAAGGTTGAGAACTCCCAGACCTCCACATACTTTGGGAGAACAGGCAATCTCCCATTTGACAGGGGGCTTACCTTTAAATGAGCTTGAGGATCCTCCCGAAAGGAAGTTGCGTCTAATTTTGTCTATGTTCTTAATGAGCCAGGAAGGAAGTTTGAAGAAGGACATATAGTAGAGGGGGATAGAGGATAAGACAGATTTAAGGAGAACCAGACGACCACCAACAGAGAGCAGTTTACTTTTCCAAAGGGCTAGTTTACTGTTGAGAGTGTCCAGAAAAGACTGCCATTCAGATCTAGATAAGGAGCCCCTCTTCATAGGGAGACCGAGGTATTTGAAAAGGGGGGGCAATTAAGGATTTTGGCCAGTTGAGAACCCTTTGAGGAGGATTTGCCGCTGTAGAATAGGGAGGATTTAGAGAAATTTATAGCCAAGCCAGAAACATTTTCAAAGAGGTATAGAATGGCTTTGAGGTTGATGATATCGGATTTGTTGTCTTTGCAGAAAATAATTGTGTTGTCAGCAAACTGAAGAGATTTAATATCATTGAGCATTCCCTTAATGTGTACCTCAGAGAGATCACCATGATTGCAACCGTTGATGAGCAATCTACAAAGGACGTCGACAACCAAAAGGAATAGCATAGGAGAGAGGGGGGTCTCCTTGTTTTAGACCTCTATGACAGGAGAAGGGTTTTGTTGGAGAGCCATTGACTATGACAGAGGATTTAGAAGGAAATAGGATATATTTTATTCAGGAACACCATTTATATCCAAAGCCTCTGGCTTTGAGGATAATGAGAAGGAAGTCCCACCTGACACAATCAAAAGCTTTGCTGAAGTCTAGTTTTAAGATACAAGCCTCAATTTTCTTGAAGAAGCAATAACTGATCATTTCATGGCCCAGGACGATAGAATCAATTGTAGACTTGTCACGTTGAAATGCAGATTGAGATGGATGGACCATGGAGGATAGGAAAGGGCTTAGCCTGTTAGCTAAAACTTTAGAAAAAATTTTGAGCAAACCATTGATGAGACTAATGGGTCTGAAGGCAGATGGATGGTTTGGGGAGAGAGATTTGGGTATAAGGGCTATAAAGGAGAAGTTAACAAGATGGAGGCTGGATGGGTCTCTGAAAATTTGGTTGAAGAATGCGATGATGTCTGGTTTGATGACATCCCAAAAAGATTGATAGAAGAGAATGGAGAATCCATCTGGTCCTGGGGATTTGTATGGGTGGAGACCAAAGACTGCTGCCTTTATCTTTGGCTCTGAGAAGGGGGAGTCTAGAGATTGAAGATTGGTAGGTGACTGAGGGAGCAGGTGTTGCCAGTCAAGCTGGAAGGAGGGAGGAGGATGAGCTTTGAAGTGGTTTGAGAAGTGATGAAAGAAAGCCTGTTGTTTGTCTTTTTCTGAGAAGAGAACAGAGTTGGAATATGAGATGTGGGGGATGAAGTTCTTTCTTCTGTGGTAAGAGGCTATTTTGTGGAAAAAATAAGTGTTGGAGTCTCCTTCTTGGAGCCATTGAATCCTATATCTTTGCTTCCAGTAAATCTCTTCTTGATTAGCTAGAGAAGAGAGAAAGTCTTTAAGAGAGTTCCTAAAAGAGATTTCTGAGGGAGACAGAGGTTTGGATTCTTCCAGAAGTTCCAGGGATTGAAAGGATTTGAGAGTAAGGGATTTATTGATGGTGATTGATCCGTAGATGTGTTTTTTCCACCATTTAAGTCTACGTTTAAGGATTTTGAGTTTAAGGTGAAGATATTGAATGGGATTGCCATTGCAAGAGAAGTTGTTCCAGCAGGAGGTGACAAAGGAAGAGAAAGATGGATGTGAGAGCCATAATTTCTGCATTCTAAATGGTGGCTTGGGAAGGGGAGAATAGGTATCAAGGATGAGGAACTCAAGATCTGAACATGATGAAGGGTAGCGGTATTGAACAGTGGATGGGAATTTGGACTCGAAGTCTGATGAAACAAGGAATCTGTCTAGCCTAGCTAAGATTGGAGAAGATCTCATATTGGACCAAGTAAAGGACTTGCCATTAAGGGGGAGGTCAATTAAGTTCAGAGAATTAATGAGGAGCTGGAAATTTGCGATGTCTGAGGGAGAGGCAGACCTACCACTGTGCTCTTGAGCAGAAATAGTGACATTAAAGTCTCCAAATAGGGACCAAGGAAGGGGGAACATGCTCTGAATTCTATGGAGTTCCCACCAACAGACCTCCTTATTGGACTTCTCGGTTGGAGCATAGACTGTGGTAGCTAAGAATTTCCAATTGAGAGCTCTATGGTAGAGAACAACAGAGACGGAGAAAATGCCGATATAAGAGTCGATGCAATCAAGAAGAGAGTCATTCCACCCCAGAAGGACACCACCTCTAGACTCGATAGCCTCCAGTTGGAGCCAGGAAGAGATTTTAGGGAGTTCGATATTCTTAAGAACCAGAGGTCTATAGGAACTAAGTTTGGATTCTTGAATCCCTATGAGGTCAACTGAGGAGAGAGAGATGTTGTCTCTTACTAGCCTTCTCTTAATGGGGTCGTTAATGCCCCTGACGTTCCATGATCCGATCTTCGTAAATGAAAATACTGGCAACTCTACTAGAAAGTCCTAGGAGAGGCGACGGGTCAAGAGACTGGACCTGCGTGCTCTACTTCTAACTCTCTAATACTCTGGATTGAAATTTAATGTATTCAAGTTTAGTTAGTGATGTATTCTTTATACAAGGGAGTGGCTCATAGTATTCCACTGATATCATATCATACTACTGGATTGCCTATTGACTTGTATTTATACTTTCGGACATTACTTAAAATTAGGACAAAACACTCCTAAATTATGTGGATACACCATTACTAAAAATATCTGAATCCGCAACCAATGCACTTTTGATAGATAAATATTCTAATATATCTAGACAGTTCTGATTCATTCAGCATACTATTATAGCAGTGTAAATATTCATAGCACACGTGTATTTACTTTCACTCAAGGCATATTATAACCATGCGTTAAACAGTTTATGCTTAATATTAAGAAAGTAATTCTATTCTCAAACCAGAGTGAACAAAAATCCAAATCCTAAAAAACATGATTAATTTGGCAGTAGAGAGGATTAGGTGAACTATGAAAACATTTAAAATGCCCCCCATTTCATCATGCCCCAAAACTAAAAAGACTGGGTCTTGCAACATGTCACAAGGAAGCCACAAAGTCAATAATGCTGATGAATTTGGTAGCACTTTTTATATCTATATAGCCTTCAGAGTAGGTAGAAAGATACATTATTCTCATCGTATGGATCACATTTTCTAGCAATTATTATCTGCTTGGGTAAGATGAGAGTTTATGTATTATTACTTACTAGCTCCATGAATTTTTTTTTTCAAATTACATGCAAAATTTTTGCTGAATTGATGTTTATGTGTTACTTTCACTGAATGGAGTTATCTATGGATCCTTTCAGAATAGCCCGCATGTATGTCTATTCACCGAGAAGAGAACCTGAACATGTGAGCCTAACATGATACAAACAAGGAAAATCTTCATCGCAACTTGTTAATAAATTGAGCCAAAATATTTTTCTAAAGAAATTTAAATGTTGAAAATGGTTGTACACATGACGAAAATTATTCTAAAAGGGAGTTGCTTTCTATATTTTGCCAACGTTTGAAGCCTTGTTTTCATGAACCAAAGACTCGTCAAATGATGGTAAAATATCACTTGATGTCTGAAACACGCTATCTTCTCGTTCTCTGACTTTTGGAGCCATGTGTTCCTTCTTCGGTCACAATTGCCAAGTTTTCTTTTTCTTTTCTTTTTTTCAATAAATACAACAGTAATAATGGTATAAGGGGCAAAGGAAAAAAGGAAAAGAAAAAGAAAAAAGAAGAAAAAAAAAGGACGTCTTCATTTGTCGTAGAGTAGTTGGTGTGGAAATAATAAAAGCTTAACTTGGTTCATTCACATCATGACGAGTGTATGATTTTGGCGTGAGGTATGATTCTAGTGTTGACTATCAAACTTTATACTCATCATTTAATTCATACTTCAACATATTTAAATATGACTCATATTGTCTAGTGGATGATCATGATTTAGTCTAAAATTTGGAATTTTCTCGTTTTTATAAGTACACTTATCTTTATCTTACACTCAGAAAAAAACTTTTATGGTGATATTTTGAACAGTTCAACTTCTAAACATAGTTTAGAACAACCATCAACCGTTTTTCTTCCATTTTCTTCATTTGGGCCTTCATACATGTAAGTCTTGTTTTCATAAATTGATTGTGTGTCTGTTTTCATGTTGGGCTCTTATTGTTGAGCATCGACTTCATCATATAGAGCGGGCTTCAGCTATAAATATTATTAATTCAAAAAATAAAATAAAAATAAAATCGCTACTTGCAATTTCTTGTTTTGAATCATTAGTATAGTGCTTTGCACGAGAGCATACATGTTTTCTTTTATGTTTTTCAATTTTTTTATTCACTGCAAACTAATGAAATGACCTATATAGCAATATAAATTTTAAAAAATTATAATTTTGTTTAAATGAATAAATTGTATGATAAAACTGTGTATATGATTAACTATTAATTGTTATAATTTGTTCATAATTTATTAAAATAATTATAATATATTAAATAATTTCTTCTTTTTTAAATATAATAGCATAATTGTAGTACTATCAGTAACTACATTTTAATTTCATAATTAGTTTATTATAATATTAGTAAATAATTTACTGAATTGTGTATATTAAATTACAGTATAACTTATTAATTTAAAAATACTATTAAAATAATTATACTATTAATACTATTATAGTTATAATAAATACAAATTATTTTCATACTATTATCATACTTTTAAAGGCTAATAAGATGGGTAAAAGTAGTTGTCCATAAGAGGTGAAACCTAGAGGCATAAGGCATAAGCCTAATGAATTGTTATTATTTTTAATTTTTCTAGAATTTTAAATATTATGTGAAGATAAATTATGGATAAATTTTAAATTTTCTATTAAATAACACAATCAAATAATAAAATAATAATGTGATCAAAGGTTTTGAAAAAGTGATGAAATGCATAATTAATAAGAGGTTATATAATTAGTGAATGATTAATTACAACTAATGACATATTTGAGAATTATTAAACTTAAAAGGGTAAAATTGGAAATCAAAAGTTTTGACAATTCAATCCTCTTTTTATATGTAGTATAGTATATAGTATAGTATAGTATATATAGATTTATTAAGGTTAACCAATTAACTTGTATATTGATTCGAATTTATCTCTGATTGACTT